GGGTTACCACTGACCCGAGCGCATGCCGGCGGCGAACTTACCGACGCTTCATGAGTGAATATGATGCCTCACTATCACTTACTCAATTGATCGTCGGGCGCAATAAAATCACAGTCACGTCACTTTCAATTCATCATTTACTGAAGTCAGAGGGCCTGGCCACGCGAAAATATTAGTTTTCTCTTGACGATGAGGAACAAGACGTGAGTCACGAGGTGCCCACACTGAGGTAGAAGGTTGAGGATCATCAGGGTTTTCTGCACTAGTATCGATTTCCTGGTCATTCTTTTTTGTCACTAAATGAGCAAAGCCGTATAGGATTTAGGAATTGTCTTCATTTCCACTTCCATCAGTGTCTGGAACTATCAGATAGGAAAGAGGTGAGTCCAATTTTTGGGGAGTGAGAGTGACTTGGACGAGGCATGGTGAAACAAGGTAACTGAGCCAGGTTCCCACATTGCTATGCGGGCGCTAGATTTTGTGTTTATGGTTGACACCCACCCACGCAGACCGTTTCTCTCACATGTAGGCCTATGAGCGTTTTGACCAAAATTTGACGGCGCTAGAAACGTGGCGTTGTATCTACGGTTTGGACACTCAATGTAAAGCCGTGGATCAACGGGTCGACCCTGAAAGGGTTTTAAAGGTTTATGAGGCTTACGAGAAGCTTGGTTAGGTGAAAAATTGAGCCTGAGATGGAGACAGCACTTCTTGGATACCATGAACCCTCAGTTCATGCCTTGATTGTTGGTCAGATAAGATAAGATAAGATTTCATTTGGATTTTTAACCCCGGAGGGTTAGCCACCCGGATAACCAAGAACAGAAAGTCAGTGCGGTCATCTGGGACTGTCTAACTTATTTCCATTGGGTCCTCAATCTTGTCCCCCAGGATGCGACCCACACCAGTCGACTAACACCAGGTAGCCTATTTGCCTGCTAGGTGAACAGGACAAACAGGTTTAAGGAAAGGGAAACGTGCCAAATGTTTCCACCCGCCGGGAACGAACCGGGCCTCTCCGTGTGTGAAGCGGGAGCCTTTAGCCACCAGGCCACGGGTCACTAAAACTCATAATCATATACAGATGCATCTGATAATGAGCCAGTACCCTCTTGACCCACTCGGAAACGAGTCATAATATTAAATTATTCTGGTGAGCTGCAGAGGGCAACTATAATATTCCATACCACTCCACAACTCAGTGGGGAAACTACTTCAATGACTTACTGTTAAAAAAGCAAAGATAATAAACTAACTTAAGCATTGCATTGTGATACTGGAAGTACTGAGGAGATTAATGATACAATAATATTAAATCTCTTACCAGATTTTTTCAAGCAGTGAATGAAGTAGAAGATAGAGTATAAGCTTCTGTGAATACTAATGACGCAGGTTATTGTCAGTAGTACCTGGACAACTGGAATAACCTTTGTTAATAAATATGTAATTTAGGTTTCATGTTGGTGAGGGGCTCTTGATTTTGGGTATTGGATTCTGTGCTCCAGTTTCCCCAAATTAAGCCTGATCCGGTCCACTTTCCACAGCCCCACGCCCCAGGCACTGTATAATCCGCCGGGTTTAGCGCTGCCCCTTGATATAATAATAATAATAGGATCAGGATTTAACTGCATACAAATCAGAATTTAATTTGGAAGTTACCAATAGTATGAGTATTCTGATTAAAACAATTAGCAAACCTGGAGGCTCATAAACTTTTTTCTTTGTCTTTTACATTGTGGATATAACATATGGACGGCAATAATCAGGTCAAAAAATCCTAATGTTTCCTTGCAGGTTTTATGCTCTTTGTGTGAATATAATAAGAATACAAATTAATATCAAAGGACTGACAGATTTCTTTCCAGCTTTTTTTTTTCAACAATAAATGTTTAGAGGGGAGGAAGCTCTTATAAATACATGATATTATGAATAAAAGTAATTTAGGTGCATAAATTTAATTGGGCCTTATGCATCTACATTCCTACAGGCTGTATGTTAAGAAGGGAATGGCTACTCATGCCGTCATTTAAAACTTAAATGAATTGCAACTGGCTTCTTGGGTTTGGTGGTTTTCCTTTGAGCACGTTAAGTTGGTGCAGCAGGGGTCTTAAAATTTTCAGCCTAACTCTCTTCCCACCTGAGCCTAAACTGCCTCTTAGGTGCTGCAGGTGCCTTCCCAGTTAAAACATTTGCAGCTGTCAGAAAGAACCTCTTCTTGTAGGTCGGTTTCGGGGCTTGGTCTTAGGAGGGTCACCCTTGTTTGTGTGCAATTGGCACTTTGTATTTGTTATGAAAGGTTCTGCCTTAAGTGTGTTTTTTGTCTTAGTGTGAAAAAAGTTATGTAAAAATTTTATTATTTTGGTAAAAAAAATTCGATGTTTACAGTTAGGGGGTTGGTTGGAGCATACAATTCAGAGCTGTCAGGAGCAAATGGCACAATTGGGATTAATAGTTTTTGGAAGGCACAGCTTACATAGCTATTGTGCCTATTTAGGTATTAGTGAGTTGGATTATAAGAGGAATTATATTCAGAACTTTAATAATATTCTTTTACAACTTAAAAACTTTTAATATATTTTCTTCAGATGTGTAGTTAGAACCCAATAACAAACACCAGTGTTACAAAAATTTCGGTACTACAAATGAGACATTTGGAACCACTTAATTTCTACCACTGATCTGTGTACTTAAAACTTCATTCTCTGTGGTCACCAAATTATGTTATTTACTGTATATGTTAATTTTTGATATGTATGTCTGGAGGGCTTATGCTTTTTGTTAAGAGATTCATAAATGAAATGCAGATTTAATTACAAAAATGTGTTAAGCTGATGATGGTATTTATTGAATATTGTTTTTTCTCTAGTTTTTTACTTCTGCAATTATATTTTGTTGTTTATCTATGCTACACATATAATTAGGTCCACATTTTGTTTGGTAAAGCTTAGTCAAAGACAGTGAATTTAATAACAGTAGATGGCGTGAGCTTATGTAAGGAGTGTTGTATTTGATAGGATGGGAGAGAGATGGCGTGGTGCTGCTTCCCATACCAATCTCTTGCTACCACACTTCCTTCTCCCCCCCACACACATGAGGAGCCACTACTAATGTGGGGGATAGTGTGCATGTGTAAAAATGTTTTGTGTCAGAATGATAGAGATCAATGGTCATAATTTAGGAGAGAGGAGGAGGAGAAGAAAGGGGAAGGGGAACGAAAGGGATGTATCAAGTTTTGAACATTTGTTTTTTTATTTCATGGTCAAAAAAGTAAAATGACACTGGATTTGGATATTAACAAACTCGAAATTGCTCTTTTATTACCACTGCGCCTGCTCTAGCTATGGTTTCTTTCATGCATCTCGGACAACATATATGATGTCTAAACAAAGAAATTTCAGTTGCTTTGCTATGGCAGTAAGGCGAGGAAATAATGACTTACTCTAATTCATTCATAGAGTGAAAGTCATGATGTGGCCTAAACATTAGGAGTATGATGTCCAGATGTTCTCACAGCAATGATCACAACATTGTTGCCCAGTTTTACTGCTAGGGTAAAATGACATGCTGGATAATACAATTTTGCATAGTGGAATGCCAAGCCAATGATACTTATCAAGTTACTCGGCGCTGTATGTAGCCTTTGTGGCTTAGCACTTCTTTTTGATGTAATAATAATTACTCAAGTTACTTTTTTCTCGCCAGGCTGCAATACTGCTGTATACTGATAGCCCCTTCAAAGCAGGCATGATAAATATGAGTGATGGGGTTGAATGTGAGTGGGACTTGCACATCTGTTAATAGGGTTTTCTATGCTTATCTTGGGGTGGCACTGAAAAACAATGGGGTGGGCAATTATTTTTGACAGTGGGTTTGGATTTGAGGACTTGCGATTTGTATGGGCCGTAGGCCTATTGCAGTGTTCCTCCATTTCTTATGTTCGTAAGACTGCCAAGCTGGAAGACACTCACAACTTTCACTGCTTGTTTACACGGTTACGTCTAAGCATATGAACTTTCTAGGAACACTTGCTGTCCGTTCAGCTGTATTCACTTGGGAACAGGGCAAGAGTGGTACATCATAATATACACCCAGAAGGACGACTGGCTCAACCTGAATACCAAAAACTACTTCATATGACAAGAGACTTGGGCTCACTGTGAAATACCTCCACTAAGGAGGGGAGAAAACGAGTCATATTGAGAATGAAGGAGTGTCAATGCCTGCCTACATTTACTTTCAGGAAATTACCAACAAAACTTTGGCCAGTCTTCAAGAGGAATAAAAGTCCTCCAAAGCAGTGGGCCTGGACCACCGGGGCTGTGATTTGTATTTTTGGGCTGTGTGGCCTGCAGTAACATCCTGGTCTGAACAGTTCATTACTCCACGAGGCTTGGTCTGGACAGAGCCATGAGCCACATGGGCATTGACCCCCATATGTGTCCTTCAGGCATCTACATGATAATTAGGGTCATAATTCTAAATACACATGTTACAATGATTTCCAGGACTGCATCTTTTTTATTAAGTGGGATTCTACTGCACCAAGATGTATTTACTTACAAATTAAATATATTAGTGAAAGAAAAATTTGGAGGTTTTATTATACAAATTCTTTATGCCAAAAAATACAAAACTCAGAATCATGTGAACTGTCTTTTTTTACAAAATATTTCTATAAAAATACACCAATACAATCAAAAGAAAATTTATACTGAAAATATTGTACAGATAATTCAATACTGTATTATTTTTTTACGAGTTAACACTACATATTTCTTTAAAAATTTATAATCTATAATATACAATTTTTTCCAAAACATCTATTGAGAGAAGTTATATCTTGTAAAACAACATTATGTCTAGTATTGTAACATCCATAGGTCCTTTATATATGACAAAATATTGAGCACAGGTTTTATTAATGAATTTCTTAATGTTCATTAAATTTCTTAATCTAGACAGCTAAAAACTGTGCTTGCTGCTTTTGGCTTCTAAAATTTACTGAATTCCAAGAATGGATAAAGGAACAGTCTTCAAGCAGAGGACCTCGTATCTAGCGCTGCTATTCTCGCTACCCCAGTATGGAATGTAACACACCCTATGACTTGGGTGAACCTGCAATACATTAGATTTTTTACTTAACTAGATATTGTTGGATTATTATTTGTTCTCTGATATAAATATTTCACTGTTGATTCATTGACAGTTGCAGTTCTGAATGCCTGTACATCCTACTTTTAGTTAAAGGAGTATTAGTAGTTGTGATATTTACAAAGCACTTTGACCACATAGGTCACTCAGCACTCTTAATAAAAATACAAAATTTTGCACACACTGGAAACAAAGATAAAATTAACAAACAAGAAAAGCTACAAACATCAATACAATGCTCAACACAAATCAATATTATCACAAGTTAAAATAACCAGCATCAGTTTAAGAAATCTTTTAATGAAAGGAGAATTACAAATGTGGATAATCTGGTGATCTGATATACGTAGCAGAACTAAGCAAGTACAATGGGTGGCAGTGTTGGTGGCCCAGTGTGGGTGGTAGTGTTGGTGGCCTAGTGTGAGCAGCGGTGATAGTGGCCCATTGTGGGTGGGAGTGTTGGATGATGGGTGACTGAGTGGGTGAGTGTGCAGCTGGTGTGGGCAGTAATTAAGGTGGCTGGTGTCTACGTGACTAGAAGTGTAGATAGCATGTTAGGGTGTGTGGACCATGAAATCATGGGTAAGGTGTGGGAGTGTGGCTGTGAGGGCTAGAAGCTATGGGGAAATGGTGAGTGAAAGCACGAGTAAGGTGTGGGGCCATGTGAGCTTGGTGGCATGGGTGGGGGTTGTTGCTGGGTGTACAGCGAGGGTATCGCTGTACACCCAAATAAAAAATAAATAAAATGCCAGGAGCAATGGGCTGGTAACCCCATCTCTTGTATAAATGACTAAATTTAACCCTTTGAAGGTCGCCAGGCACTCTCAGAGACTTGTTCTCAGGGTTGCCAAAATTTAAAAAAAAAAAAGATTTTTTCTCATGAAAAGATAGAGAATATTTTCCCGATCATAATGACATCATAAGTATGAAATTTGATGGAAAACTTACGGAATTATGCTCTCGCAAAGTTAGCGGTCTTGATGATGTTTATGCATCGGCGATTTTGCCCACTTTGAGCCCTATTTTCGGCCAATTCCAGTGTACTAGTCAACAAAAATCATAACTATTTCGCTAGAACTCCGTTTTTTTTTAATCGAATAAGTACAAGAAACCACCCATTTACCAATTTCAACTATCCAATAAAGTGGTCAGAATTTAGCAATTTTGCCAATTTCACACAAATTTCAAAAGATTCCAATTTCCAAATGGGGTCCATAATAAACAAGAAAAACATTCCTGGCACTAAAATAACATTTCCTCTGTTTTCCACTTTGATTTTTTATTCTCATACAAAAAGTAAGATTTACTGTTAAGCAGACTACTGCATTAGTGTAGAAATGGTATAAATAATATCGGCACACTTGTGAAAGAATATTAGACTCACCAGTTGATGTGTATTGGACGTTCAACATGATTTGTTTACTTTTGAACTTTGGTAAAAATCGAACATTTCTGCTACTATGAGCTCAATTTCAAGGTACTTTTCATTGTGAAACCAGTCAAAATCATCTCAATTTCTGTAATATGTCTTCCATTCTATAAACGAGACCAGGAAAACTAGAATACAACAATAAATACCATACCGCCAGACTAACACTCTTCGCACTAATCTCGTTCATACCTCTCCTCCCTCTACAGATGTTCCTGGTGTCTACTCTATTTCTTGCTCCTCCTGTCCTCTTCAATACTTCGGAGAAACTGGTCGATCTCTTTCTGACAGACTTAGGGAGCACAAAAATAGTGTTAGGCTTGCCGACACTAACAATGCTCTTTTCTGTCACGTCAGAGATCATAGCCATCCTATTGACTGGTCTTCTGCTAAAACTGTCTTCCCTACTTCCAACTCGAACAGTCGCCGTTTAGTTGAATCCTCTCTTATACACAACTTTCCTTGTATGAACCTTAGCCCTGGCTTCGTCTCTGTAGATGCCTTCCTCTCCCACTACATTGTAAAATGCTCCAAACTTCAGAACACCCGTGACTTAACCTGAATCCTCATTTTTTTCTTCTTCTTCTTTTTCTTCTTCCTCTTCCCCTTTCCTCTCTCCTTTTCTCCTCTGGGTTGTCTTTCTCTCTCCTGTCTCGTGTTTCTGTTCCTTCTTTATTTTATTTCACCACTTCCCCTTTCACGCACCTCGGTGCGCTTGCTCTCCTCTGTGGGTTTCTAGCTCTCTTGCAGTGCTCCCCTTCCTTTGTATTTGACTGGCTCGTCTTCCTTATTTCCCACTTCTACACTACCACTACTTCTACCTCTTCTTCTTCTACTACATCTACTGATGAAATTAGACACATGTGCAGCGTCTGGTTGTCTTTGTTGTGGACGTTTCGCCATCCAGTGGCTGGCTGGATGGCGAAACGTCTACGGTGGGGATGCCCGGGTGTTGTGCATGTGTCATTTCATCCTGTCGGTATTATATACAATTCTTGTACTACTACTACTACTACTACTACTACCACTACTACTACCTCCACCTCTTCCTGCCTATATATAGCCGTCCTGCTCCTCCTCTGTTAGTGTGACTTTGTCAATGGTCCAAGTCGGACCGAAACGTCGTCGTAAGCTTCTGTCTTTTATGTGCGGGTTGTTTGTGTGTTTTGTGTGAATAAATACCATACGAAAATACAGTGCAAAGTCGCTGTTTTAAACCAAAAACACGGTCAAAGTTTCTTTTTTCTCATTACGCACTGTGTGCTGCAGGATTTTTTTTTTTTATACTGCGCACACTGACCACATAGACCCATTCTTTCATATGTAGGCCTATCAGCTTTCTCTTGCTAGATTTAAGGGCACTAGAATTTATGCATACTAATACGTCAAAAACCCTGGTGTGTAAGCCGTACTAGTACGGCTGAATCCCCGAAAGGGTTAAAAAGAAAAACTTCTTGGTTTTCCTCTTTTTTTCAGGTCACCCCTCTTCAGTAAGAGATGGCCACTATGCTGAAAAAACTAATAAATAATAATAATAATAATAATAATTAATAAAAATAGTAATAATACCCCCATGGGACTAGTAGGTTAGAATTCTTCCCCACTAAGCTATACTTCTTGTAAAAGGCAACTAATATGCTAGGAACAAGATGCTAATAATTACCTTCCCCTTCCTTCATACTGTACAGTAAGTCCTCAACTTATGAACAAACTGAGAATCTTCTGTATTGTATATATCATTATTATATCATTACTCTGTATAATATCACTATTATACACAATACAGAAGGTCCCCAACATGTCTGCAAGTTGAAGACTTCCTGTATTATGAATATCAAATTCAAATTCAAATTCAAAGTTTATTCTCTATAAAGATTACAATGTTGAATTTACAGAATTTGGTTGTTGTGTGGTTTACATGTAGTTAAATAATGATTACAGAGTGTACCACTAGAACGCCTAGCATGGCTAGGCATTTCGGGCAGACTTAGTTTAATTCTTTATTTTAAAATATTACAAATTATGAGGTAAGTTGGTATTATGGCTAAGTGACTAAATACTAGTTTGTGAGTTTAGCAATGTGAATGCTTTTGTTTTGGCACAGTACATAGTTTCAGTATTGGAGTATCATAGGATTCATTATTTTAAGATTGAGATTAATATTTCTGCTTATGGTCAAATGGGTGAGTGAGTGTAAGTGTGAATCACCAGAATACAGAAGATTCTAAATGTGTTCGTAAGCTGAGGACTTACTGTACGTATTTAATTACTAAAATAGTCAAAGAAAATTTTGAAAATGGGTGTATTTGAACATGTGTGGGTATAGTAAGAAAGAACTTGGTGTTATGCATGAAAAGAAACTGGATGTCCTAACACTAAGTGAGAAAGGTATAAGAGGTCAGAGAATTTCAATAGGGAGAGGTAAATGGGTTTAAGTCTGGTGTATCTGAGATAATCAGAGGCAGGGAAGGAATAGTGGCATCAATTATGGAGAGAAAAAATATGGATTATGTGTTTCAGCTCAAAGAATCATGTGGGTTAAGTAAATGTTTAGGGAGTTTTAACCCTTTGACTGTTTCCGACGTATAAATACGTCTTACGAGCCAATGTTTCTGACGTATTTATACGCACAAATTCTAGCAGCTTCAAATCAAGCAGGAAAGGCCTGGTAGGCCTACATGAGAGAGAATGGGTCTCAGTGGTCGGTGTGCACCCTGTGAAAAAAATCTGGGACCCAGCGGTGCATTGTGGGAACGCCATGTTGTTAGTCCATTTTCACCATGCCTCTCGGTAAGAAGTTCCTCACCCCTCGGCGGATTGGAGGTCTTTTGTTCCCAAGTGATAGCTCTAACAGCGATGAAAATGTCAGTGACAGTGAATTCCAGGGTTTTGAAGTGAGTGTTACCGGAAAAAGTGCCCAGGATAAGGTAATTAGTGATGAAAACCCAGATGACCCACAACCTTCCACCTCTGGTGCTGGGCCGGCTTGTTCACGTTCACGTTCGCCTGTACCAGGACGAAAGAGGAAACTATTTGGTCGTGTACAACACCCAGATGTTAGCAGTGATAGTGATAGTGATTTCAAGGTCATTGAAAGCAGTTCTAGTGACAGTGAGTGAATATTCCCCAGTGAAGCGGCAGTATGTACGACGTAGCATGCGGTCTGGTAGTGTTTCATATGTTGTTCCAAGGGGAAGGAGAAACTCCGGGAGCACATCCCGTGGCTCTACACCACGACCTGATAGTGAAGATGACGATATTGTAACGATGGGTATGAATGATGTGAGTGATGGAGCAGGCAGTGGTGGTGATAGTGAGGGTGGTACGGCCCATGTGGCACCATCAGCGGGCCATGCTACTACCCACGCTGCTGACTCTGCACAACAACCAGCCTCACCCTACCCCACACTCCCACAACCTGCACCACCACAACCTGCACAACCACAATCTGCACAACCACAACCACGGTACAATATCCAGTCCCTACCAGCAGACCGCATCTGGGATTGGCAGGACGGTGACGAGTTTGTTCCCAGTCCCCATGACTTTGATGAAACACAAAGTGGAATAAAGCCATCTTGTCCACTTGGGAACAATGCCAGTGAACTGGACTGCTTTGAGTTATTCTTCGATGAACCCCTGATGGACAGCATTGTCAGGGAAACAAACACATACTGTGATTACACCATGGCAAATACAATTCTCTCACCAAAATCACGGCTACACAAGTGGAAGGAGACAACTGTGGCAGAGATGTACCTGTTTTTTGCCACAATAATGCTTATGCCACATGTGTATAAGCACACTGTCACCACATACTGGGCAACAGAACGCCTGATTTCAACTCCAGGTTTTAGTGACATTATAGGTGTCAATTGTTTCCTGATACTGTTACGTATGTTACACTTTTCAGACAAAACTAGGCCTGACAGAAGCGACAGGTTATATAAGATCAGAAATGTGTTTATGTACCTGAAACAAAAGTGCTGCATGTATTTTTTATCCTTCAGGAAGCTTGTTATTGATGAGTCCTTGATTTTATTCAAAGGAAGACTCTCATTCAAGCAATATATACCAAGCAAGAGGAAACGCTTTGGTATAAAGCTATTTGTACTGTGTGATTGCAGAAGTGGTCTAGTTTTGGATATCATTGTGTACATGGCAGTAATACTTTGAGAGATACCATGAAGTTATTGGGTATCTCTGGTGATGTGGTTTGAACAATGATGGAACCATATCTTGGTAAGGGGCATATGTTATTTACTGATAACTGGTACACAAGCCCCTTACTCAGTGATTTCTTGCGAGTGAACTTGACAGACGTGTGTGGCACAGTGCGTCGTAATCGTAAACATATGCCAAGGTTCGACGCTGGCACTCGCAGAGGTGAGGTGCAAGCCTTTGCTGCCAATGACATCATGGCATTTCGGTGGCATGACAAACATGATGTCACATTGTTGACATCAGTTCACAGAAGCGAAATGGTACCCAGTGGCAGGGACAACAGAGAGACCAATGAATCCATTCTAAAGCCTGCAGCTGTCATGGACTGCAACCTCAATATGCGCTTAGTGGACAAATGTGACATGCAGACTGGGTTTGCAGACTGTGTATGCAAGAGTTATAAGTGGTATATAAAACTTTTTTTTCCATCTTGTTGATATCTCTATGCTAAATGCTTATAACATATACAAGTTGAAGACCAACAAAACACCAAAATATGGTGAATTTTGCCTGTCAGTAATCAGACAAATAATTGCAAAGTACCAAGGAGCAACTCCTGCAATAGACCAGCGCCCACACACGTCATCTCGTTTCAGGCCTGGTGATCACTACCCCATACAACTGCCTCCTACTACTGCAAGAAAAATGTCCAGAAGAGGTGTTATGTATGTATGCATACCACAAAACGCCCACAAACACGCAGAGACACTCATTTTATGTGTGAGAAGTGTGAAGTGCCCCTCTGCATATACCCATGTTTCAAAGAGTTCCACAAGCTGCAGCAGTTCTAGGAACATGTTTAGTGACTGTACATATGTATATATATTATGGAACAATAGTAATAAACATTGTTTTGTATTGTTTGTTTGTGTAAACAAAGTGTATACACAAACTAATAGTGATAAAGTTTGTTCTGTTATTGTGTTGTAAATAATGAGTGTATATTTGAAAAATGCACCTTACATTGGTCTCACAGGCCACATAAGTTACCTGGAACAGAAAAATATTGTAAAATGCAAGAAACCTTTGAATTAGAGTAAATAAAAGAATACCGGGTGGGCGGCAGTTGCCATTGTTGCCGTACGCACATCACTTTCTGCAAACTTTGCGGCTCTATATCTCGGTAAGTACTGATGGCAAAAATATTTTTAGGCTTAAAACACTCACAAAAATATTCCTAACATTTTCATAAGAAAAAATAATTTTTATTTTTTTCGAATATTTGGCAACATAGAATGACAGTTTCAGAGAGGGGCCTGAAACAGTCAAAGGGTTAAGGAAAGTTAGATCATTATTGTTGTGAGAAGACCTTAATGCTAAAGTAGGCAAAACTGATATAGATGGTGTTGTAGGTAAGTTTGAAGTGCCAGGGGTAAATGAAAAAGGGGAGGCCCTCAACTGAGTTGTATAGAAAGGGGTTTGGTAACAGGTAATACTTATTTTGAGAAAAAAGAGGATATAAATAAGTATAAGAGATATAATGTAAGGCTTGACAAGGACCAGTCAGTTTAAGATATGGTCTTAGTAAAACAAAAGGTTAATGGCTAGACTTCTGGATGTACATGTTTTTCAAAGGAGTGACTTATGTCTGAATAATTAGTTGGTACTATGGTACACCTCACTCTCTCAAATCTGTTAGACTGAAAAACTCATTTTAATTTTCCTCAAGCATGAATGGGGTGGTAAGAGGAGCAACTGGTGGAATGAGGTTTATAGTATGGTCAAGGAGATACAATTAGCATTCAAGAGGTTTTTACAATATAAAAATAAGAGACTGAAGGCAGAGTATATGGAGAGAATGAGGGAGGTTAAGAGAGTGGTGAGGGAGTGAATAAAGAGAGCTATTGAGAGAGTGAGTGAGAATCAGACAATTTAGTAAGAAAGAGCTGTTCTGGCAAGAGATTAATAAGGTTAGGCAGCAAGGAAAGCAAATGGACTGTGCAGTTAAAAAACAAAAGAGGTAAGAGATTAGATGAAGAGGTGGAGATGCTTTGAAGATGGAGAGGTATTTTAATGAGTTGTCAAACATTAGTGATGAAGGAGAGGCAATGATTTCAGGCATGGGGCAGGACATCACTAGGGGCCAGGCTGCAGGAATAAGACAACACTCAAAACCCATCAAAGATATATCATATAGGAGAGAAGACTGTGGGGACAGTGCATGAGGCAGTGGGTAGAATGAAAGGAGGTAAAGTGGGTGGAATAGATTGGGTTATGGTAGAGATGATAAAAGCATGTGGGGAAATAGTGTTGGAATGGATGGTGTATTTGTTCAGTATATACATGAAACAAGGGAAGGTACCCAAGAACTGGCAAAGAATATGGATATTTACCTTGTATTGGGAAAGAGGGGACAAAAGAGAACGTAAGAGTTGTAGGGGATAAGCCTGCTAAAGCCTAGGTAGTAGGTTGGTAGACAGCAACCGCCCAGGGAGGTACTACCGTCCTGCTAAGTGAGTGTAAAATTGTTATGGGGCTATAGGACCCAACATGTATTTATGTGGCAATATAAACACAAATGCAGTATAATGTGATCCTTTATTGACTACGTTTCGCCCACACAGTGGGCTTTTTCAAGTCACAAACAGAACTACCTGGGGTGGAAGGAACGCGAGTATACAGTGGACCCCCGCATACCGGACGCATCGCATACCGTACAATCCGCATACCGGACGCTTTGATCGCAAAAATTTTGCCTCGCATACCGCCCAAAAACCTGCTCACCGCCCTTCGTCCGAGACGCGTCCAATGTGCGGCCTGAGCCACGCTCACATGTTCCGCCGGTGGCATTGTTTACCAGCCAGCCTCCGCGGTAACATCCAAGCATACAATCGGAACATTTCGTATTATTACAGTGTTTTTGGTGATTTTTTCTGGAAAATAAGTGACCATGGGCCCCAAGAAAGCTTCTAGTGCCAACCCTACAGCAATAAGGGTGAGAATTACTATGGAGATGAAGAAAAAGATCATTGATAAGTATGAAAGTGGAGTGCATGTCTCCGAGCTGGCCAGGTTGTATAATAAACCCCAATCAACCATCGCTACTATTGGTGGTACAGCTGCTGCTGTACCACCGTCAGCTGCTGCTGCACTGTCAGCTGCTGCTGCACTGTCAGCTGCTGCTGCTGTACCACCGTCAGCTGCTGCTGCTGCTGTAGTACCGTCTGCTGCTGCTGTAGCATCGTCTGCTGCTGCTGTAGCATCGTCTGCTGCTGCTGTAGCATCGTCTGTTGCTGCTGTAGCATCGTCTGCTGCTGCTGTAGCATCGTCTGTTGCTGCTGTAGCATCGTCTGTTGCTGCTGTACCACCGTCAGCTGCTGCTGCTGCTGTAGCATCGTCTGCTGCTGCTGTAACATCGTCAGTTGCTGCTGTAGCATCGTCTGCTGCTGCTGTAGCATCGTCTGTTGCTGCTGTAGCATCATCTGTTGCTGCTGTACCACCGTCAGCTGCTGCTGCTGCTGTAGCATCGTCTGCTGCTGCTGCTGCTGTAGCATCGTCTGCTGCTGCTGTAACATCGTCAGTTGCTGCTGTAACATCGTCAGTTGCTGCTGTAGCATCGTCTGCTGTTGCTGTAGCATCATCTGTTGCTGCTGTAGCATCGTCTGTTGCTGCTGTACCACCGTCAGCTGCTGCTGCTGCTGTAGCACCGTTGTTGGTGTGGCTTATTGAGAATACCAAGAAACAATTAACCCCAGAGGATTTGCCACCCAGGATAACCCAAAAAGTCAGTGTCATCGAAGACTGTCTAACTTATTTCCATTGGGGTCCTTAATCTTGTCTCCCAGGATGCAACCACACCAGTCGACTAACACCCAGGTGAACAGGGAAAATGCCTGGAACTAGTGCTCATATTGGTGAATTTAGAGCCAGCAAAGGTTGGTTTGAGAGATTTAAGAATCGTAGTGGCATACACAGTGTGATAAGGCATGTTCTGGAAGAAAATACCTAACAGGACCTACAGTACTCAGGAGGAAAAGGCACTCCCAGGACACAGTGTCTCATCAGTTATTGCTGCATCTTCAATAAAGGTAAGTGTCATTTATTCTTCATTTAGTAGAGTAGTACATGCACAATATATATTGTGCATGTACTACTCTACTATTGTGCATGTATCCTTCTCTTTGTGTGTAGGAAAATGTATATTTCATGTGGTAAAAATTTTTTTTTCATACTTTTGGGTGTCTTGCACGGATTAATTTGATTTCCATTATTTCTTATGGGGAAAATTCATTCGCATACCGAACATTTCGCATAACAACCAGCCCTCTTGCACGGATTAAGGTCGCTATGCGGGGGTCCACTGTATATAGTCCAGCTGAGGTCAGGTGAAGAATGCTGCATCTGATGATGTACCGAGTGGGGTTATAGAGTCTAAAAACTTGGGTAGCTTAGAAAGGAGATTGGATAAGTTTGTGAGCAGACCTTCTACAGTGTTCTTATGTGGGATAGCGATGAAGAAGTTTCTTGGCAAGTGGTTCAGCTAAGTTATAGAAGCCACTATTCTGGTTGAAGTTGTCGGATATAGAAATAAGTGATGATTCCAGGATTCTTCGGTATTGAGTGTTGTCTTCTGTGGCGATAAGTCTTGAGTTTCTGTAGTTTATCAAGTGGTTGTGTGAATTACGGTGTTGTACGCAGGCATTCCTTGTGTCGTCAGATCTGCTTGCGTATTGGTGTTCTGAAATACGTGTTTGGAGGTCCCTTGATGTTTCGCCCACGTATAACTTGTTGCAGTCATTACAAGGGATTATGTATACCCCTGCAGAGGATGGAGGCTTGTCCTGCCTACTACTTGTGATGTCCTTGATGGTCGTGGTTGTGGAGGTAGATACTTGGAATGATGTTTTGGCAAAGATGTTGGAAACATGTTTGGCAATGGAGTTGGTGGGAAGGACTATGTATCTCTTCTCGGCAGTGTCTTCTCTGGGTGTGTTGAAGATGTTTAATGCTCGCCGTCTGCAGTCTCTGATGAAGTGACGAGGATAGTGGAGTTTAGAAAATATTTGTTCAATTATAGTGCATTCTTCCTCAAGGAACTTGTTGCTGCAGATTCTGAGTGCATGCAGGAAGAAGCCTATAATTACACCACGTTTGGTTTTGGTGTCGTGGTGAGAGTAGAAGTGGAGAAGATCGTTTTGGTTGGTGGGTTTTCGATAGACTTTAAAATGAAGTTCGTGGTCAGCTTTGCAGAGCAGGACATCAAGGAAAGGAAGAGTGTTGTCGACTTCTTCTTCAAGTGTGAACTGGACTGAAGGTTCGACGTGGTTGAGCTTGTCTTGGAGAGCTTGAACGTTGAAGCGTTTAGGAGTTATGAGGAGAATGTCGTCAACATAACGGAGCCAGGTGACAGATGAAGGAATAATGGTGGAGAAACGTTCGGCTTCTAGATGTTCCATGTATAGGTTCGCCAGGACTGCACTGAGTGGCGAACCCATGGGTAGTCCAAAAGTCTGCTGAAAGAGGTGATTTTCGAAAGAGAAACACGTAAAGCCAACACATAGTTCAACAAGGTCGATGAAATCACTGGCTGGAATGGGAAGATCAAGTGAATCGTCAATTTTCCTGCAGGAAAATTTCCCGCAGGAAAATTGACGATTCACTTGATCTTCCCATTCCAGCCAGCGATTTCATCGACCTTGTTGAACTATGTGTTGGCTTTACGTGTTTCTCTTTCGAAAATCACCTCTTTCAGCAGACTTTTGGACTACCCATGGGTTCGCCACTCAGTGCAGTCCTGGCGAACCTATACATGGAACATCTAGAAGCCGAACGTTTCTCCACCATTATTCCTTCGTCTGTCACCTGGCTCCGTTATGTTGACGACATTCTCCTCATAACTCCTAAACGCTTCAACGTTCAAGCTCTCCAAGACAAGCTCAACCACGTCGAACCCTTTAATCCCGTTCACACTTGAAGAAGAAGTCGACAACACTCTTCCTTTCCTTGATGTCCTGCTCTGCAAAGCTGACCCCGAACTTCATTTTAAAGTCTATCGAAAACCACCAACCAAAACGATCTTCTCCACTTCTACTCTCACCACGACACCAAAACCAAACGTGGTGTAATTATAGGCTTCTTCCTGCGTGCACTCAGAATCTGCAGCAACGAGTTCCTTGAGGAAGAATGCACTATAATTGAACAAATATTTTCTAAACTCCACTATCCTCGTCACTTCATCAGAGACTGCAGACGGCGAGCATTAAACATCTTCAACACACCCAGAGAAGACACTGCCGAGAAGAGATACATAGTCCTTCCCACCAACTCCATTGCCAAACATGTTTCCAACATCTTTGCCAAAACATCATTCCAAGTATCTACCTCCACAACCACGACCATCAAGGACATCACAAGTAGTAGGCAGGACAAGCCTCCATCCTCTGCAGGGGTATACATAATCCCTTGTAATGACTGCAACAAGTTATACGTGGGCGAAACATTAAGGGACCTCCAAACACGTATTTCAGAACACCAATACGCAAGCAGATCTGACGACACAAGGAATGCCTGCGTACAACACCGTAATTCACACAACCACTTGATAAACTACAGAAACTCAAGACTTATCGCCACAGAAGACAACACTCAATACCGAAGAATCCTGGAATCATCACTTATTTCTATATCCGACAACTTCAACCAGAATAGTGGCTTCTATAACTTAGCTGAACCACTTGCCAAGAAACTTCTTCATCGCTATCCCACATAAGAACACTGTAGAAGGTCTGCTCACAAACTTATCCAATCTCCTTTCTAAGCTACCCAAGTTTTTAGACTCTATAACCCCACTCGGTACATCATCAGATGCAGCATTCTTCACCTGACCTCAGCCGGACTATATATACTCGCGTTCCTTCCACCCCAGGTAGTTCTGTTTGTGACTTGAAAAAGCCCACTGTGTGGGCGAAACGTAGTCAATAAAGGATCACATTATACTGCATTTGTGTTTATATTGCCATTGTGTCGGTATTTTATACCATTTATTTCCATGTATTTATGTATCTGTAACAGTTGCTCTGGAATACCCAATTATATTGAGTTGATGGGGACACAGCACTTAAATGGCCCTAAGGAAAGATCACCCTTAGGGACTGAGAGGCAGCTGGGTCAAGCCTGTTTTTTCTCAATATAATAGGTTATACTATAGACACACACACATTTAAATAAGTAGTTTATAAAGTCGTATTTCTTTCGTAAGTAAAATAAGGTGTGGTAGAGTTGTGGTAACTAGAGAATTGTGCTTGGCAACAGTCTTTTGTTTGTTTGGTGGGTGTTGGAGGCGCTTAGCAATGCCCTCCCTCTCTCTCACTCTCCTTGGTGGCTTCAAGCTGGTAGGACCTCTGGTTCCTTGTTTTATTTTTTGGGGAATTATGGTTAGTCCAGAGATTAGTCAAGAAGAAGGGCAAATTGTTCAGATGCACCATGTGGGCTGTCCTAGAAGAGCAGCTAAGGGGTGTGCAGGCTTGTTTGGAATTAGCAGGCTTATGTTTTGAATATGTGAATGCTGTAATTGTATATTCTATACATATCTATCTAGAATACAGTTCTATTTTTGTAATAGTAAATAACCTGTGAAGAGGGCTGGTGAAAGGATTTCAGAGACACTGAGGATGATCAATCATGAATGTAAGTATTACCCTAGACTGATAAGGCCTTCATGTAAAAGCTACCCCACACTAGAACATGTAGTGAGAGCCATGCTATCAAAGTATAAGGGACAACAACATAAAAATGAAAGCCTGTAATTGTTTTACATGATGGTAGGATTGCTGGTGTGCTTTTTCTGTCTCATAAACATGCAAGATTTCAGGTATGTCTTGCTATTTCTACTTACACTTAGGTCACACTATTCATGCATATACAAGCACATATATATACACACACACCTCTGGGTTTTCTCCTGTATACATTACTAAAGTAAAAAGGAGAAACTTTCAGTGGGAAACTCAGAAACTCAGTGGGATACAGCTGGTGCATTGAAAGAAAGAAGCCTGCTGAATATACCAGGTAAAATTTATAGTACAGTGGACCCTCGGATATCGGCCGTTCCTGTTATCGGCCAACTCAGTCATCGGCCGGTTTTTCGGCTCCCAGTGATTGGCTGTTATTTCAGTGATTGGCCATTTTGGACGCGTCTGTCCACCAGCTAGGGCCGCTTGCGCATCAGTCTGGCTGTGTCTCTCGGTGTGTGAGGAAGCTTCTGCTCATACATCCAAACATTTTGCTTGTTTTCCATTTTTTTTTTTTTTTTTTTTTTGCAGTGCAACTGCGAAATAAGTAACCATGGCTTCAAACAAAGCTCCTAGTGAAGCTCCTGTTATAAAGAAACTGAGAAACAGCATGGAATTTAAGTGTGAAATGGTTGATAAGTATCAGTGGTATGCAGGTGCTGGAACTTGCCTGGATGTATGGGAAAACAAATCTACCATTACATCCATTCTGGCAAAGAAAGAACAAATCATCAAGGATGCTAATGTTGCAAAAGAAGTAACTTTTATAATGAAATAAAGGTCACCAATAATGGAAGAGATGGAAAAGTTGTTGTTATTGTGGATTAAGGAAAAAAAAATATAGGTAGTTAGAACATTTGCAGTTACCATGCTAAAGGTATGTGCCTATATGGCAGAGATTGTTGGAATACACACCAGAAAATGTGCGAACATGTTGAGGAAGGGAAAGT